TAATTATATTTTAATTATATTATTTTTATATGATAAATATATTTAGCAAAATATATAGGTTTCTGTAAAGTTATTTATGTTTCTCATATTATATATGTTTATTTGTAGCTGAAGGAAAAATGTAGACAGCATTAACTATTCGAAAAATTTGTATTGCATATATTACTTATTTGTATAAACAATATAATTTGTTAGAAAATAACACCAGTAAGGCACAAGAGAATGTTATTGCACTTTGTCATAGTTAATGCTGCCATAGAGTGGGTATTTTTTTTTTGTTACTATAAATAAATTGATAATATTTATTAATATAATTTCAGAAATCAGTTGCACGAACTGAAAAGGCATCAGAGCTTACTTTCTCACATTCTTATAAAGAAATTCTTAAAATTCTTTAAATCAATTATACTTCCTCTGAAATAAGTGAAAATGAAGCTGAAATATTAGCCAAAAAGTATGGAAGAAAAAAATTATATATTTCAGAAATGGCTTTTAGATCAGAAGAGGTAATTTGCATCATTATTTTTTTTTATATATTTGTACCATGTAATGTTCGAATTGATTTCTATTTATAAGCGATTCTGAGATTTAATTTTGGTTGGCTCGTATTTGGTGTTGAATAATTATCTATTTGCCGATTATAATTTTTATGAACATACAGCAGTAACTATTTAGGGTCTTAATTTCCATATCAAATACTTTACTTATTAAGGACTAGTCAATTTAATGATTCAATTCAAATGCAGAGATTATATTAATAACTTGATTATTTTTAAGGCTATTTGTATTATTGAACAAATCGATCGAGCTATAAGGGTTGATGAATTAGGTGAAAAAAGTAGTGGTCGGGTTCAAACTGATGAATGTATTCATATTATTCAAGAGGACGAATATTATACTAGCCTAGTTGCTGAAATATCTGAATCCAAAATAAATAAATTACCTTCTTGGGCTGTCTATAAAGGTACAATTCGTAAATCTAGCAGTGATAACAGTTCTAGCAGTTCTGATAAGTGTAATTATTATTATTATTATTATTATGTATTATTAAATCCTAACTAATATATATATTTTTTAATTAGAATTTTAAATTGCATTGGCGAATTTCATTGTAATTACTATGAAT